CGCTAACAGCCACCTGCGCGATGACTCATACTGAAGCTCACAATCGATAAAGTCACCCGCGGCGTTAGCATCGTTTTCGCCCGAGAGAGGGCAGCACATGGCGTATTCGCTACTGTACGAGCGGAATCAATGAAATGCGACAACCGCCGCTGATATGTGCGTATCCAGCGTTGACGAACGTTTCCGCTGGGAGGAGGAGAAAACTGCCATCCCTGGGAAAGCCCGTGCTCTGGTGGGGGGGGGTGTAGATAGGGCGCATTAGAGACAGGACGGGACGAATTGAGATGAGACAGACTTGAGATGACTCTTCTCTCCCATCCCCTCTCCCCTCCATCCACTCTTTCCTCTCCTGCCGTCCCACCTCTATTTCCTCTTCCTCCCCCTTTCCCCTCTCTCCTCTTCCTCCCCCTCTCCCACCTCGCCCCCTCTCTTGCCAACGCGTGGCGCCACCTACCGGTTTCTTCGACCCGACGATCGTCTGCTCGACCTTGAGCACCTGTGACGTGTGGTCGGCCGACGTCTTCAGCTCCGTGGCCTTGATGCGATCGTAGACGCCTGCCAACATGTCCGTGTCCAGGTCGTGTCCGTCATCCACACCTAGAGAGAGAGACACAGAGGGTGAGAGAGAGAGAGAGAGAGAGAGAGAGAGAGAGAGAGAGAGAGAGAGAGAGAGAGAGAGAGAGAGAAGAATAAACATATAACAATAACCAAGCCAGCAGAGCAATAAACGTCTCCAGAACACAAAATTAATTGCACCAGTTATCACAATAACGGATCCATGGGCTTGACGGCAGGGGTATGCAAACAGCGTACATGCTTGAAAATATCTCTCGGAAAAGTTGGGGGCGCGCGTAAGGTGTCACAAGAGAATGATATCTAGGCTTGCCGTATCTTAACTCGTGTCTAGCTTTTCAATAGCGAAATCCCAACACAAACATAACTGATTAACAGCTAAAACATTCACATATCCCAACAAACTAAAAACATAGTGTACTGTAAATATTACCACGTGGAGGGCCAAGTAGCAAGGTTAGCTTGTTATTTATCTTATAATCTTGATTGATGGATGGATCTTTTTATCTTCAGCAAAGGCAACTGGTGAGGATTTTCATGTTTACACTATACACTGGGTGCAAGGCACCAGCAGTAACCTACAATAACACATGTTCTATTTGTACTGGTGTTTTCAAGGATTGTCAAGGATTTTCATCTTAGTTTCAACTACCGTTAGCAGAAGTAGCAGTCATTGCAAATGTATTTGTAATGGTGATTGATAACGCCCCTTTATTGAATGTGACTAACAGCACAATTGTGATAAATTGCGATTGGTGATAAACGAGTAAGACACGTGTAAAGAGTTGATCAGATGTACAAGTTTTGCAACACACAATGTTGGTTGATGCTGCCATCTGTTGGAAGACTATCACATAAATGCTCACGCAGTTTACTTGGGCAACATAGCTCCGGTATGTATACATGCGCAGTTGCATGACGTCGGTCCATAACTTATAATACATTATATACAACTTATAATAGAATTTTATGTCATTTGATAAAAGTAGCCACCAATATATTTGTGTATAAACAAGAGTAGGGACTTACTTGGAAGTGAAGTATGATTGTCCATATCAAGCCTAACGTTAACTTTGGGTTTCCATCTACAATGTCATCGGGGCGAATATTTACAATTTTAATCTGAAAACCAAACAAAGAAACATAGTTTAAAAAATGAGTCGCACTCTTCTTATCCCATTTCACGTCACTGCTTCATAATAAATACCTTAAATTTAATATATCTGTTAAGTGTTAGGTTCAGCTTCGTAGGTGTGAACCCTGCTAAGCGACAGAATCGCGAACGACAATCGATCGACGGTCAGTATCATACTTACGCCTCTAAATCTAAGAAAGTCTAAAACTGTTTGCACGTTCTGTAGCTTGTGGAAGCGCATCCGGCCCCTCTCTCGTGGCTAGAAAACACAAGAACATCACGTGTCAGCAGAGATAACCAATAACGCGAGCTCGTCGCATCTGGCGGCCGCCGTGAACGGCGGAACTTTGCAATGGTTCTCGCGCATTGTTCCGAGGGCGTTGTTCCGAGGTTGTGGCGTTCTGATTTATCAGAAGAATATAAAGCGTTTAGATCACACATTCACGGAACGTTTGCAATTCGATTTAGCGCAAAAGCTTACACGTTAGCCTACTCAGTGCCTACCGATGATTCATGCTTAATTACACATATTCATGTAATGTTTGCATCTTGATTTACACAAGACGTTACACGTTAGACTACACATTGCCTACTGATGATTTACGTTAAATTACAAATAAAATGCTAGAAAATTGACACCTCGAAACTGCCGGCACACAAACCCGTTTCTCGCTCTCACGCCAAAACGAGCGCTCGATTCCACGATACGTGGCCGACGTCACCATGGCAACCGACTCACCAGTAGCTCCCCCGACAGGACTTCGAGCAGTGATATGAGATTGCGTCCATCTCTGAGGCCCTCAAAGAGATCTGTGACTTCTGTCCGGCGCTGCGGAGCCAAGAAAACAATTAACGTTAAACATTAATTATACATTAATTGTAAATTAAACATTAAACAAAACAATTATTAAATGTCGAGCTGTAAACTGATCACATTATTTAAATGTTACTCATAACGACCACAGAGTGGCGCCACTGGACTACGAATAGAATACTTAGCAGGAGATGAGATTCGACCAGCCGACAGCGGTGGGTTACGTTGACCCAGACCACACTTCTAACTAAAGTGGAATCGCTCGTACGAACTACGAAGCTTACGAATTTGCATCAAGATTACGTTCAGTAGATCACGATGGTTAACAACAAACAAAAGAGCGTTTACATCTTAGAGGATTCTGGCAATAGCCATTACGTAATAGCAGCACACTATAGCTTATTCGTTTATATATATTATGTATATATAATAATATATACGTACACAGATATCCTCTCAACATATCTATTAGCGGAAAAAAATGTTGCGACAATATACGCGGCGAGAGAGCCGTGCAGTTTGATTTCTAGAGCAGACGAGAGGCAACGAGTCTACTAAAGAAAGATGCACACAGTTATCATCCCCGCATTTGTTATCAGATGCTGTTACGGGAGATGCGGATGTGAATTAATTCAATAAGGTTGAGAAAGACACATAAGTTGCCGCATTGTGCTGCATATCGACATTCCGCGGGTCAGCATTCAAGAGGATGTTAGAAGACTACAAGTCGAGAGAGAGAGAGAGACTGTTAGAAGATACCACCGAATCCTTCTTGCACACAGTATTGTTACTATAAAGAGCTAATAATACTTCTATAATTATTATTAGTAGCAGTATTAGCTCTTGTTACTATCTGAATAGGATGCCATGCGTGGTAGTCGAGCAAAACCGTTATCAAACTGAATCGAAGAGAGTAATGAAGAGAGGAAGACCGGTCTTTCACTGGCCAGTCGGATACACACGGACGCAAAGAACTCTCAGGAGATACGCTTCTATCGGGGAGTGAGCTCTAGCTTGGTCGGAGACACAGAAAATCGCTTCTCAAGCCATTCCCACTCGTTACGAAATTACATTAGAGTACGCCCGACTAATGAATGGATTTTTTAGTTGATACTGTGAGCATTGCACCGGTCACAATTATTAGTTATTATTAGTTAATTATTAGTCGCTGTTATTGATTATTTAATGAATGTTGTTACTGTTTATTTAACTAATGCTGTTACTGGTTATTTAGTTAATGCTGTTACTGGTTATTTAGTTAATGCTGTTACTGTTTATTTAACTAATGTTGTTACTGGTTATTTAGTTAATGCTGTTACTGGTTATCTGATGCTTAACACTGGTTATTGTCGTTGTCGTTCAGAGTTACCATGCAGCGCAAACGCAATGCCACGCAGTCGCTCACACAACACGCATGTACATGTGGCCAATGTACGGGAGAACTGAGGGGGTAGAGTGTGCGGTCAGTCACACACTGCGTGCTAATGACATGCAACGAAAATGAACGTGATTTTATTCAAACCTGGACGTAGTGCCAATGCTGCAAGAGAAAACATGAATAGACTGAGATTATTACGAAATTGACTGGAAACGAATCGAAGAATTGGACGAAACGAATTGAATGTTTAAAATCGAGATTTCATGAGAAATTAACTGAACTAGGAAAAATTGCACGTGAATGGGCAAAATGTGCGCAAACCAGCGGTACAGTACAAATATAGTCTGCTAAATTCCAAAGTAATAATAAAATAAAAATGTTACTGAAATGCTCGAATGATTAATTTTTCATGAGTAGCAGTTGTACGAATTCTATCTGCCTTCTTCGTCCCACGCACATATATTCCCCCCCCCATGACCTACAGCCTGCCTGAACAGCAATCTAAATGACCTCTTTCTCTGTTTGCCAACACCCTCATCACTTTCTCTCATCTTCTCTCGCTGCCTACCAGCGTGTGTGCCTGCCTGCCTCTCTGTCTGTCTGCCACCACGTCCTACTATATCTTATGTCTGTCCGTCTTTCTTTCTGTCTGCTTCTCTCTATCTGCCCCCATGTTTGACTCCCGCCCTGTCTGGCTACCTAAATATCAGTCTTTCTATCCTCCTACTACCCTGAGTATCAGTCTTTCTATCCTCCTACTACCCTGAGTATCAGGCTGTCTGTCCATCTACTACCCTGACCGTCCACCCTGCCCACCCCGGCCAGTCTCGCTGCCCCTCCTTCCCTACTGTCCTGCTTTTCTGGCCGGCCGTCTCTCTATCAACCGATCTTTCTCTCTTTGTCGCTCTCTCTCGCGCGCTCTCGCTCTCTCTCTCTCTCTCTCTCTCTCTCTCTCTCTCTCTCTCTCTCTCTCTCTCTCTCTCTCTCTCTCTCTCTCCTTCCTTTCTTTCTTTCTCCTCGTCCGGCCTCTCTTTCTTTAATTTTCTGCTCCGTCTTTTGTTTCTTGATGCTCTTCGTTTCTGCCTGCTCCTTCCGTGCCCTCTCTCTGCTCTCTAAGTGAGTAACGGGTTATATCCTGTCCCCACAACAACCTGTATAGTAGCGGCACTCCCTCCCTACTATCACAACGACTAGAGCGGCGTCATCATCACCACTCGCACACACACACACACACACCACAACAAACACACACCCACACACCACGACACACACACACACACACACACACACACCACACACACACCAACACACATACAGCACGACACACGCCACCAGGCACGCACGGCCACCACGCCACGCACACACACACACACACAACACACACCACACAACAACACACCACACAACACACCACACCAGCGCGCGATACGCACACACGCGCCTGCGCGCCCAGCCAGAGTTGCTCTCGCTGTCTGCATCGGCGAAAGAATCAATACAATCGATTGATCAGCTGCGGCCTATATATATATATAAATATATATATATATTATATAATGTGTGTGTGTGTGTGTACAGACTGGCTGTCATGTCTCATCCGCTGATACACACAACTGCAGTTGTCGCATGACAGTCCCCACTTAGCACTGATGAGTTGGACAAACTAGCCGGAAGATGGCACTGTGAACATTTCGCACCGAATCATTTCGCAGGGTCAGAGACAAGTGGATGCGTCCGAATATATATATATATATATATATCTCGCTTAAATAGAGTATCATCTTTGTATATATCTTTGTTTATTTTTTGGGTATAGATCAGCACTTCTAGATCTGTGATACGAATTTTCTCCTTTGATCACTTCTAGTGATAATAGTAGATAATCAGTTCTAAAACAAAACATCAAGTGAATTACTTGTTAGCGTTTTACAGTTGTTTAGCTGTCTATAGTACAATTTCGAGACAAAATACGCTAGTTTACTTTACGAAGGAATCACTACATCAGGACATACGGGCTACTCAGTGGATATTGTTTGGGTTTATAATATACAATACACATGTCTGTGAAACACGAGGGTGTTCGTGTTGATATGCACTACACTGTTCAACAAGCCTCGGTCAGGGGAGACAGACCGTGCGTCTGGCTAAACAACATACAGACACTTGATACATGGACGTGAATAGATACGTAGTATCTCCCTGCATGCCTTCCTCCCCTTTCTTCTTTACTATCCTTCTCTCTCTTCCCTTATCTCTTTTTCTCTCTCTCTCTCTCTCTCTCTCTCTCTCTCTCTCTCTCTCTCNCTCTATTCTCCTCTCCTCCTCCTCTTCCTCTCTCTCTCTCCATCTCCCTTTCCCTCTCCCCTTTCTCTCTCTTTCTCGTTTTCCCTCTCCCTGCTCTCTCTATCTTTCTCCACACAGCTGTGCGTCCCCCTCCTCGTCAGGCGCATCAATGAACGAGATAAATAAATCCTCCCTACACCCCTCGGGCGTGAAACACGAGCTATTACATATACAGCTCACATCCGTGTATGCATAGCGTGTCTATCTATATCCCATCGGTGAATCATAAGGTGGCAGCAGATATCAATCTTACCGGTGCCTCATATATATAGCTTTCTAAAGAATAATATTATAATAATATGTAATAATTAGTCGTCCTTCAGGACGACCCTAATTTTTCATAAGGGTTTCGGTTGCGCGTGTAGTAGGAGACACAGGGCGCTACAGTAAAAACCCGCGTATAAGAACATATATTTTAAGAACCTGTTAGGCTAAAATTTCCCATTTAGACCCCTTTAC